CATCCTCTGTGCAATCCACTCTGTTGGCATATGTGCACGAGAGCATGTTACAAAACACATCGCGGCCTCCCCGTAAAACAAATCCAAGATCAAACACTTTCAATACAGAAGTTACCGCCAAAGCAATCGCCCCCGACAGCTAATCCCCTCTGTGCATTTGACCATAAAGTCTACTCACATACCAGACGCCTCAACCGCCCACCCGTCAATATCATTGCAAGGACAGAATGTACTCCCGCTAACAGTGTGGAGTACTAATTAAACATTCCAGTAATGTTACCCGCCACTAAATCAGTTTTTTGTAACTTGCTGATACTATTTTGCACATACAAAACATTTATAGAGCAATACATAGCAATTATCCTCCTTTACCAACATATACAAAGAAACACAGTGCTCAACTTAAAACACTTCACTTTGCACATATATCATAATTATACACAAATACATAATAATTATCTCCCTTTACCAATATATACAAACAAAACAAATTTGGATACACCATATATACAAATTTGTATATTTTGTATATGTCATATATACAAACTTGTATATTTTGTATATATCATCTTTCCAATCTTGTATATCCTTTGGAAATATCATCTTTCCAAAGGATATACAAGCTTGTATATACATATGAATTTTTTTTGCAGTGATAGTCCGGACTGATGCCGATTTATAGTGCTAGCATACTGAGATACCATGCCGCAAATTAACATGAACAACCCACTCAGACACAGTATACTGACTCCGAGCCGACCAGTCCTGGTTTTAGCCCCAAATGCCGAGCGACAGACGGGGTAACAACAAGTACCATCTTAAAAGTTTCTGAAGACTTAAATTGATATATTTCGGATAGAGAAATCAATTGCACACAAAAACAAGAGCATGCATGAGTGTGCGGGTTTAGACCTTCACATTCAATGTCAGGGTAACCTACATCCCATTTCCCCTACAGCTTAAGACAACAAAGTTCCCGGTCCATGGCACTGCTAATCCCTAGTCTGTTACCTATTTGATACGATGGAACAACCCAAGAAACACGAATAGATTGAGATAAACAATTGACATAACAAACTCAGCATTGCGAAGACCAGCCATGTTGATGTCATGTTAGTCAGTTTCAAGTATCTATATACTAAACCTAGCCATCTCAACTGTAAATCGTCTCATCTCAGTTTCTCAGTGTAATAATTGTTTCTTCCTATTGTTATTTTTGTAATTTCTAAAAATTGTCTTCTCATCATACAGGCATCTTTCATTACACTTACATTAATTCTTTTTTTTAAAACTTTCCTTAAAGTTCCCTAATCCCCAGAAAGCTCTACCCCTTTCATTTCCACTACCTCTACTCCAGACCTTAATCTCTCCTTTAGGTGAGTTCATAGTGCCTGACAGGTAAATGCCGCGTGTATAACTCTGTAATGTCATATACTGAATTGAATACAAAAATATTTAAGAAACAAAACAAAACAAGTACCATCTTTTAACGTCTATTGGTATGACGCGCTTTCAAATGTATTGTGTAAGTTCTAATCAACAGGGAATCATACATACACACTAGTATCATAAAGGTCATTTTATATGTTTGGTATATTCTTGTAATGCGTGGGCATGTTGAGTATATTCACAAGAGCATGCATGAGTGTGCGAGTTTAGCCGTTCACATCCAGTCATGTTTCCGGTTGTTTACATGTGTCGAGAAAAGATCGCATGTGAATTGATCGTTTGTACTTTTGACTCTCTTTGTGAGTCACGACTTTTGACTTCCCTGTTGAGTCACGGATGGATTATGTAGCATGCATGCATATGACCAAGTAAGGATAATACTAGAGGCGGTAACTGTGGAGATGTGTGGTCTTGGGACGTCAGGAAGAAAAAAACCACGTGCACACTTTACACTGACACGGGGCGGTCGGCTAGCCTAGTGTTTAAAGCGTTAATTCGCTCGTCACGCCGAAGACCCGGGTTCCATTCCCGACATGGGTACAATGTGTGAAGCCCATTTCTGGTGTCCCCCGCCGTCATATAGCTGGAACATCGCTAAAAGCGGCGTAAAACCACACTCACTCACAACACTGACACGATGAAACAATATCGTGGACACACATATTTTAAGCCCAGAAATGAATCGTCATGGCTGAATGAAAGACTAGAGTGGAATGTCAGTTAACGCAAACAAGTAATCAACCAGTAGCAAACAGCATGTGTGAAACACGAGTTCCACAAGATTGATGATTGTTTGTTTGTTGTTGACACTGGTAATCCATAGGCTGGGATGATAAGCCACATCCTAGGCGAGTCTTACTTAAGTTTATAACATGTAATCATAATCTACCTATTGAACCTGCATGGAAGATGGAGAAAAATACATTTAACCGAAAGGATTTGCCAACTTTGCAAATTATCTGACATAGGTGATGAATTTCATTATTTGTTTATTTGTCCATCTTTAGAAAACGAAAGAAAACATTTTTTACACAGATTCTACTACATTAAACCCAATATGCATAAAATGAATTTACTTTTCAATAATTCACGACTAGGAACAACAAGAAAACTGTCCAAATTCTGTAAAATCATCATGTCATTGTTTAAACCTATCAAGTAACTCTCCCTCTTATTGAATTGCACATGTATTGCTACCACAGTAAATCTGTATAAATATACATGCATACTCGGCCAAGATGTTTTTGTATATATTCTATATTTATATGTATATGTATTATGTTATTGAAATAATTTTGTACCTCTGATAGCGGCCTGAGTGTGAATAAAGTTCAGTTCAGTTCAGGAAATCAGGAGGGGTGGTCGGGTAGCCTAGTGGTTAAAACATTCGCTCGTCACGCCGAAGACCCGGGTTCGATTCCCGACATGGGTACAATGTGTGAAGCCCATTTCTGATGTCCCCCGCCGTGATATTGCTGGAATATTGCTAAAAGCGGCGTAAAACCATACTCACTCACTCACTCAGGTAATCAGGATACGGTAACCAGTAATCAGTAATCGCCGCTTTTAGCAATATTCCAGCAATATCACGACGGGGGTCACCAGAAATGGGCTTCACACATTGTACCCATGTCGGGATTCGAACCCGGGTCTTCGGCTGCAACACAGAACGATATGGTTATGCATGTATTGCATTATGATGGCGTTGGAAGTTATTACTGAACTATACCGAGATAAGATGTTGGAAGTATATCAGTGAGTGAGTGAGTATGGTTTTACGCCGCTTTTAGCAATATTCCAGCAATATCACGACGGGGGACACCATAAATGGGCTTCACACATTGTACCCATGTCGGGAATTGAATCCGGGTCTTCGGCGTGACGAGCGAACGCTTTAACCACTAGGCTACCCGACCGCCCCTTGAAGTATATCAGAAGAGGAGAGTGAGGGGGTGACTGCTAGAAGAATGAAGTTTTGGAACAAAGGAGATACATTGTTGTTATCAAATTTCCCATTTTGTCCTTATAATGTTTTCCTGATTGTGACAATGATCTACATTGATCTGCAGCACTTTTTGCTTAATGTAAACGTACATCTAATGTGTTTGTGGTATTGTATATGCAACATGCACAACATGTTGTATGTAACCACTAGTTATATGTGTGATTTCTCATTCTAATGTGGGGCGGTCGGGTAGCCTAGTGGTTAAAGAGTTAGCTCGTCACGCCGAAGACCCGGGTTCGATTCCCGACATGGATACAATGCGTGAAGCCCATTTCTGGTGTCCCCCGACTAATATTGCTGGAATATTGCTAAAAGCGGCGTAAAACCTCACTCACTCACTCACTCATTCTAATGTTTCCGGTATTACAATTTTGATTTCTCATCGGGTTTTAGTTACATTGTCTGCTGTAACTATAAACCACTTGGTCCTTGGGTATAACACATCTTCTTAAAATACCAACGCTGCACATTCTCATGATGGTCATATTAATTACGTTCATGAATAAACTAATCCGCTATATCAAATGAAAGATTGTTGAGAAATATGCTCGATAACCGCAGAGGTAAGAGACTCAGTCGGGTATAAAAGCGGAATCTAACATACACTCATACACCCGTGTGCGAAATACGCATCAGTCGGAAAGCGCACGTCAAATCTGAGGTGAGGTGAGGTGAAATGGGGTTTTAACGTCGCGTCCAAGATTACTGCACTTATATAGCGACGTGCATGTACGTGTGTGTGTTTCTGTGGCTGTTTGTACTAGTCCGGACTGATGCCGATTTATAGTGCTAGCTCACTGAGATACCATGCCGCAGTTTAACATGAATACCCCCACTCAGACACAGTATACTGACTCCGAGCCGACCAGTCCTTGTTTTAGCCCCTTAATGCCGAGCGCCAGACAGGGTAACAACAAGTACCATCTTTTAACGTATTTTTGTATGACGCGGCCGGGGATCAAACCCCGGACCTCCGCTCTCCGGGCGGACGCTCTACCACTAGACCACGGAGGCGGTCATATACACTCTGAGAGACTCCCGACCTGTAGATCGGTGTGCATGTGTCGGTGACGAGAAACTACCAAATTTTTAACCATATTTTATGAATATATTCTGGGACTTCAGTAGTGAAAGACATGCACTTTCCTGACGCCTGTTTCCAGCAAATACTGGGAAAAGTAATCTGGCACATGTCCATGGATACAAGTTTTATGTTTGCTTGGTATTCTGGATGTATTGACCAAAACACGGTGTAAAAATAAGTTCTTCGTCTCCTCCTTTCAGAGAAAAATGTGCATGTTTGGAAAAAGTGACGGACAAAATATCTTGCCTTGCCACCCACCCCTAGAATATTAACTCATCGCTCCTTAATGATATGGTCAGATAGGGATTCAGAACTGCACCGTGAACCTGTCATGCGGACACAACTACAGAAACCACCTTTGTGTGGTTGATGTCTTTTCAAATGGAAATTCATGTTTTGTGTGATTGAAATTAAACTGAATATCTGTTTGTACCGATAGCTAAGTGAAGGTTTCTGTTTCAGACTGTCTGCCTGGTCCACGTGTGAATCACGTGGCAGATGCTTCCTTCCCCAGGATTCATGACGTGGAGTTGTGTTGAATAAATCATGTCCAAACAGTCTCATATTCACTGACATATCATATATAAATTATGGATAAGATGTGCTTGTCATACAACTGTTTCTAACATAGTTTATTATGTGCTTCAGTGTTCAAGTGAGTTTTCCGAAATTGAGTAAAGGGATATTTTCATTGCAGTGAACATAACACTTGATATTTCACTGCTGTGATCGTAACACTTTGACGGAACTATTGTCATACAAGAGTGACCTTCCCTAACATTGTCTTCCTTTATCGTATATTCTGACCCCTACACAAACTGTTGACTTCCTTTTTATGTTAGTTCCACATTTACGAGGCAAAATAATGACAGATGGCCATTTATGGAGTTAATATAACTTCTTGCCATTTGTTATTCCCTTGAAAATGTTTCGTTATAAACTGTAAATTTCTCATTTAACTCGTCAATCGAGTCTGTACTTTTCGCACAGCGCCAGTTTTGTTACTTGACCAGCGTGTATTCTTTCGCTTGCAACAGCGGCCTCGTAGTTTTCAAGAATGTTTTTTGTTATTGTTGATTTTCTATATAATAATAATATCTGTATGCATGATACAGAAATTTCGTGACCCTACTCTTTTAGTCTCAAATACAAGAGCTGGTTAACTGTCCCCGTGTCTTAGGCAGGGAGAATTTACGTTTCAAGGTTTTACATTTGTAATGAAATAATTAAATTTACCAGTAGACAGCTACACAAAAAAGTATATAATAAATAGGATATTCTGCATGTCTCATGTAATATCACGTCTCTCTCATATCGTGGCGGGCAAAAGGAAATATTTCACTCGACACATGAAATTTCCTCAATGTACATGTTTCCTTACTTTCACAACCATGCATCTTATCAAAGAAGCCCTGTCGACTGAACCCACACCACCCGGTTTCTACACGCTTGCAAGGCTCGTCTGTGTTGGAGAAGGAAATCAATTACAGCATCAATGAATAATGAACCGGGAAGTATTTCACTTTCAGCAGTAGAATATCAACCAGGTTGGCTGTTTGAGGTAGTTTCGCGTGTGTAAAGTCAAACGAGGGGGACAGATGACATATTTCCTGTTGGACAGGTCAGTGCGGGCCGACACAAGGAAGAAGATGTGACCTTCATGACCTGCCTGCTCTGAAATGTTGTGGCAGTTTTACAAAAGCAGTAGTAATGCATATTAACATAATGATTAAGTATGTTTATACATTATGTTCATGAATGTCCTGAATGAAGGAAATTATGAAATATAAAGCTCTTTTTTGTTAAAATATTTGGTTTCTTCAACAAGGGCGTAGTCGACATGTGCGACATTTGTTGGGTTTACTTGGGTGTTGACCGCCGTCATATAGCTGGAATATTGCTGAGTGCGGCGTAAAACAACAATCCATCCAACCAACTTGAGTGTTCTTAAGCAGAGAAAGATGTCACGTTTGTTTGTGTGTTTGTTTGTTTGTTTGTTTGTTTGTTTGTTTGTTGTTTAACGCCGCACTCGGCAATACTCCAGCCATATGAAGGTGTTCTGTAAATAATCCTGTCTGGATCAGACAATACAGTAATTGACATCATGATCATCGATCCACGCAATTGGAATACGATGACATGCATCAACCAAGTCAGCGAGCCTGACCACCCGGTCCTGTTAGTCGCCTCTTACGACAGGTATAGTCGCCTTTTACGATTGCTGAAGACCTATTCTACAACGGATCGTTACGGGTCCTGTCACGTGCAGATCATTCATTGCCAGCTGGTATTGGTGGTAGTGGTATTGTATTCATGTGGGTTATCATGACCTGAAATAATCAATGTCTAGTTATATGGCTATGGAGTATTAATGATATTTTATTAATGATATGTAGGATGTGTTGTCATGACAACGAGGTCAGCTGCCATGGTAACTATCCCATCATTAGCAGATTATCCATAGAATTACGTGCTCGATGGGTCTTGGAAGAGAAAATAAAGCATGAGATACCTGTGTAGGATGTGTCTTTGAATTGTTTTCTACTTTCATACTGCATGCACGAATAGATCCACTATGTAGTCTGTACATGTGCCACGAAGCGATCTTAGCACTACGAATGTCGTAAATCAGCCTTAAAGCATGGGAACTGTGCAGGTGTGTCTTAAAATCGCTCTATAGAACTGGGCCCTGATATGGAGGTGATGTCACGAAACTACAACTAATATATAACTAAACATTCTACACTTGTTAGGGCTAGAATAGGTCTTCAGCAACCCACGCTTGCCTTAAAAGGCGACTATGCTTGTCGTAAGAGGCGACTAACAGGAACGGGTGGTCAGACTCGCTGATGCTTGATGCATGTCATCGATTCCAATTGCGTGGGTCGATGCTCATGATGTCAATCACTGGATTGTCTGACCCAGACTCGATTATTTACAGACCGCCGTCATATAGCTGGACTATTGCTCAGTGCGGCGTTAAACAACAAACAAACAAACCCAATTCACTCAACGAACATCCGGGTAAAAAACAATGAACGAGTAACACAAGCATATCTAAAACAGTGAAACCTCGTTAATCCGGACAGTGGTGTCCGCATTAAGCCAGACCTGTGTTAGGAAATAATGGTTATGAAATAATACGCCTTGTATTTTTTATCCCGTTAGTCACCTCTTTCGACATGCATGGGCAGCTGAAGACCAATTCTAACCCGGATCTTCACGGGGCCCACTTTTGTATTTATGTACCCAGCAGTGTTAAGGAAACCAGCAGCCGGAAAAATGAGGTGTCAATGTATGTATTGGTAGCACTGCCAAGTGTAACAAAAAATGTAAGACTCGATTTGCTCAAGCATTTATTTCCGATAATCAGTTATTGCAAAATAGCAAATAAAGAATAAAAATAATCTGACAATTTTCACCTTGAGTCATGAAGATATTGAAAACAAATAAGCGTTGGTAACCAAAAGACTAGACTATGTACATGCTTGTACTGGGCGGTTCTAGTATATATACTTATTAAGTACCATCTGATGTAAAATCAAATTTTGAAAAAAATAATGACAAACCTTTTGTCGTGTTTTCAACAACGAACCACCCCAGTCAAAGTTTGATTTAACACATATCGGAAAAGTTTTGTGGTGCTTTAATGATGCCCATGTGTAAATATATTAATATACACCCACAGGTAACCACATACAGCGTGTGTATGAATAATACTGTTCACATTTGATTTGGTTATGTATCCCTGATTTTGTGATGTTGACATGTCAGCATCATGAATATCATCATGAACAACAGTAACAAGAACAACGCCTGACTTTGTGATGTTGACATGGCAGCACCATGAATATCATCATGAACAACAGTAACACGAACAACGTCACCATTGGGCACCCGTTCCCCAGTCACATTCGCTTATCATATGTAGACAATTTGTTTACGATATATTTGAAGATCAAACACTTAATATGTACAACGCTCCTTCTTCAGTGATACCTCCCTCGTAACACCGAAATACTGGTTTCTGTATCACATGCAGACCTCGTTAAACAACAACCTTAGCTAACACTTAATTCTGATTGTAATGAAATTGTGTTAAGCAATTAATGATTGAAATGATAAAAAAAAGTATATAAAAGTATAAGAATTATATATTAAACGTGTAAAAATGTATTTACACCATATCTGACACTATTCCGAAAACAAACGAAATCAACCCGTCTTACAAACGATACACTCATCTCAGAGTGTCGGGGCAACTGGCGAACTTCAACCCGTAATGCTAAAGTCCATATGGACAGAGGTTGACTAAACTTGCTTTGTACTACACAATTGTAGTCAACAGAATACCTGCCGGTGTAACATGTGAAAACAACACAAATATAACAAAAAGTAAAGCTGTTTGCAGTAACGGGGATATCAAAACACATATTGGCATGATTGCCGTAGCATGATAGAAAACTACTCACTAACTTATGAACACCATTATGCCAAGACTTATAGCAACACCAGGATGCCATGCCTTATAAGAACATCAAGATGACAAGCATCATATGAACTCCAAGATGCGAAGCCTTTGATTACAGCATGAGGCCAAGTCTTACAATAACAATGGCAGGATGCCAAGTCATATACAAACACCAAGATGCAAAGTCTTACTATCAACGAACACACACGTTGCTGCGATGTTTGGCAAAGAGAGATCAGATAAACATAGTGGGTATTCCGTATGTACAGTCCTATAGACGCTGTGGGCATTTCTAATATACAGTCATTGTAGGTATTTCATATGTACAGTCATGGTGGGTATTCGATACGTAGAGGCACACAGTCATGGTGGGTATTTGATACGTAGAGGCACACAGTCATGGTGGGTATTCGATACGTAGAGGCATACAGTCATGGTGGGTATTCGATACGTAGAGGCACACAGTCATGGTGGGTATTCGATACGTAGAGGCATACAGTCATGGTGGGTATTCGATACCCACCATGAGGTTACAGCAACAGTCAAACAGTCATGGTGGGTATTCGATACATAGAGGTACACAGTCTTGTTGGGTATTCCATATGAAAAGTCATGGTGAGTATTTGATTGGTACAGTCATGGTGGGTATTCCATATATACAGTTAAACAGTCATGGTGGGTATTCGATACGTAGAGGCACACAGTCTTGGTGGGTATTCGATACGTAGAAGCACACAGTCATGATGGGTATTCCATATGAAAAGTCAAACAGTCATGGTGGGTATTCGATACGTAGAGGCACACAGTCTTGGTGGGTATTCGATACGTAGAAGCACACAGTCATGGTGGGTATTCGATACGTAGAGGCATACAGTCATGGTGGGTATTCGATACGTAGAGGCACAGTTATGGTGGGTATTCGATACGTAGAGGCACACAGTCATGGTGGGTATTCGATACGTAGAGGCACACAGTCATGGTGGGTATTCAATACGTAGAGGCACACAGTCATGGTGGGTATTCGATACGTAGAGGCACACAGTCTTGGTGGGTATTCGATACGTAGAGGCACACAGTCATGATGGGTATTCGATACGTAGAGGCACACAGTCATTGTGAATATTCGATACGTAGAGGCATACAATCATTGTGGGTATTCGATACGTAGAGGCACACAGTCATGGTGGGTATTCGATACGTAGAGGCACACAGTCTTGGTGGGTATTCGATACGTAGAGGCACACAGTCATGGTGGGTATTCGATACGCAGAGGCATACAATCATGACGGGTATTCGATACGCAGAAGCACAAAGTCATGGTGGGTATTCGATACCCAGAGGCGTACAGTCATTGTGAATATTCGATACATAGAGGCATACAATCATTGTGGGTATTCGATACGTAGAGGCACACAGTCATGGTGGGTATTCGATACGTAGAGGCACACAGTCGTGGTGGGTATTCGATACGCAGAGGCACACAGTCGTGGCGGGTATTCGATACGTAGAGGCACACAGTCTTGGTGGGTATTCGATACGTAGAGGCACACAGTCATGGTGGGTATTCGATACGTAGAGGCATACAGTCATGGTGGGTATTCGATACGTAGAGGCACACAGTCATAGTGGGTATTCGATACGCAGAGGCACACAGTCAAGGTGGATATTCGATACATAGAGGCACACAGCCATGGTGGGTATTCGATACGTAGAGGCACACAGTCATGGTGGGTATTCGATACGTAGAGGCATACAATCATTGTGGGTATTTGATACGTAGAGGCACACAGTCAAGGTGGGTATTCGATACGTAGAGGCATACAGTCGTGGTGGGTATTCGATACGTAGAGGCATACAGTCATGGTGGGTATTCGATACGTAGAGGCACACAGTCATTGTGGGTATTCGATACGTAGAGGCATACAGTCATGGTGAGTATTCGATACGTAGAGGCACACAGTCATGGTGGGTATTCGATATGTACAGGCATACAGTCATGGTGGCTATTCAATACGTAGAGGCACACAGTCATGGTGAGTATTTGATACGTAGAGGCACACAGTCATGGTGGGTATTCGATACGTAGAGGCATACAGTCATGGTGGGTATTCGATACGTAGAGGCACACAGTCGTTATGGGTATTCGATACGTAGAGGCACACAGTCATGGTGGGTATTCGATATGTACAGGCATACAGTCATGGTGGGTATTTGATGGGTATAGTCATGGTGGGTATTTGAGCGGTACAGTCGTGTCGGGTATTTGAGCGGTACAGTCATGGTGAGAATTCCATATGAACAGTTATGGTGGGATTCCATATGAACAGTCAAACTGTCATGGGGGGTATCCTATATGAACAGTCAAACAGTATGGTGGGTATTCCATATATACAGTCATACAGTTATGGTGGGTATTGCATATGAACAGTCAAACAGTCATGGTGGGTATTCCATATATACAGTCAAACAGTCATGGTGGGTATTCCATATATAAAGTCATACAGTCATTGTGGGTATTCCATATATACAGTCAAACAGTCATGTGGGTATTCCATATATACAGTCATGGTGGGTATTCCATATGAACAGTCAAACAGTCATGGTGGGTGTTCCATATGAACAGTCAAACAGTCATGTGGGTATTCCATATATACAGTCAAACAGTCATCGTGGGTATTCCATATGAACAGTCAAACAGTCATGGTGGGTATTCCATATGAACAGTCAAACAGTCATGGTTGGTATTTGATATATACAGTCAAACAGTCATGGTGGGTATTCCATATATACAGTCAAACAGTCATGGTGGGTATTCGATAGGTAGAGACATATCTGTAACAAAACAAGTATCGCATCTTCAGACCAAAGTTACATGGGAGTAGGGAGATCAAGTTGTTCACTTGACAATTGAACATGTTTCATTATCATACCTCCATGTCAGAATGATGAGATCTAATTGGTTCACGTGATCTTGATAAAATACAATGTTTCCCGCCTGGGAGGGAAATAAATTGATCAGCGGGAGATTAAGTCTCTTATAGCTCTTCACGAACAAGTCAGGCTGCACGTGGATTTCTGACAGCTAGAACAAATCCCTTATAACCCGCTTCGAAGCAAAAGACCACAATCTTTTTCCGAGTCAATGAAAGTCACGTGGCATTATAAGTTTACATCAGCTCAATCAAACAGCTGTTTTATATCAATTTTGAATTTATTTTAATTCTTTAACTGTGTCATATTAAAACATGTCGGTAAGATAATTCCGTTGTAGCAGGATCACTCAGGATACATGGGGGTTTATGCGTCCCACGAGTGGGATAAAACCCAACGACGGAGGCATAAAACCCCCACGTACCCCTCACGATCCTGCCACAAGTTATAGCATATACACATATTTACATGACGATGATACTGCTGAAGTAAAGGATGAAGTAAATTTGTACCATCTACATGATGGAAATATCAGACAAACAATTTTGAGCATTCTAGGCGCCTGTATCCAATTCTAAAATAATACATTGACTTCAAAATGCCAAACTTATACAGATGACCATAAAACGAAACATTTACATATAGATTCACACATGTACGTGTGGGTATTACTTTCTGTGGGCACAAATGAGATCAGATTTTCTCGACGAGATCAAGGTTATCAAATGCATTGTGTCATGGATCTAATGCCTATTATATACTCGACTTCCGTTATGTCGCACAAGGAAAATTAGGACGCTGTATCAAACTATTTTATTATCATTATTATTTATAATATTATGTATTTATGATTAATTGATTTATTCTAAATACTATTATTAACTTTATTAACTTTACTACCATTCCTACCATTACCACTACCACTACCACTAGTACCACTACCACTACTACTACTACCACTACTACCACCACTACCACTACCACTACCACCACTACCACTACTACTACTACTACTACTACTACCACTAGCACTACCACTACTACTACCACTACCACTTCTACCACTACCACTATCACAACTACTTCTACTACGTCTACCACTACTACTACTACCACTACTATTACCACTACCACTACTACTACTACTACTACTACCACTACCACTACTACTTCTACCACTACCATTACCACTATCACTACTACTTCTACTACTACTACTACAACCACTACCACTACTACTACTACTACCACTACCACTACCACTACCACTACTACCACTACCACTATCACTTTGACCACCACTACCACTTTTACCACCACTACTTTATTCTAAATACTATTATTAACTTTACTACCATAGGTACTACTACTACTACTACCACTACCGCTACCACTTCTACCACTAAAACTACCACTATCACAACTACTTCTACTACGTCTACTACTACTACTACTACCACTACTACTACCACTACTATTACCACTACCACTACTACTACTACTACTACCACTACCACTACTACCACTACCACTATCACTACTACTTCAAATACGTCTACTTCTACTACTACTACTACTACAACCACTACCACTACTACCACTACCACTACCACTACTACCACTACCACAACCACTTTTACCACTACTACCACTACTACTACCACTACCACTACTACTAGCACACACTATCACTTCCACTACTACTACTACTGCTACTACTACTACTACTACTACTACTATATTTAAACTGTTCCAAAAATAATATTTCTCACCAAAAAGGGATGATTGAGGTAGCTTTGTGGTTAAAGCGTTCGCCTCTCACGCCGAAAGCCCGGATTCGTTCTATGTCGGTCTTTGCTTCGAAAATACATGAGAGTAACCTGGCTTTGTTCACTTTAGAACCTTCGATGTAATCATTTGCTCCCGTTGTTGTTTGGATCAATATGAGTGGAAATAAACAACCGATTCGTGATAACGGTAGGATCACATTTGGGTAATTAGACGAAATAGAAGTCGGCAGATTCATAACTGTGAACGAGGGTTGATCAGCGTAATGCCTTCAACTATTTGTATTATTATTATTATTATTATTATTATTATTGTTATTATTATTATTGTTATTATTATTATTATTATTATTATTATTATTATTGTTATTATTATTATTGTTATTGTTATTATTATTGTTATTATTATTATTGTTATTATTATTATTGTTATTATTATTATTGTTATTGTTATTATTGTTATTATTATTATTATTATTATTATTATTATTATTGTTATTATTATTATTGTTATTGTAATTGTTATTATTATTATTTTATTTTTATTTATCATTACTTAAAATATACCTTCAAAACTGTCACTACGTACAAAATTATAATGTCAACTGAAATATATAGGCTTTAAGTAAGAATTGATCGCCATTTAGAGTGCCGTATAAAACTTAAATGTCAAAACAGCTCGTACACAACCTTAAATAAACACATTTGGGTGTATTATTGTATTGTTATCTTTGTGTAAATGAAAAGCACATTAGAAAGGAAAAATAAACGTTCAAAAGTGTCATATGATAATAATGTAGACAACCGTACTCCTCATGTGAGGGTGATATATTTATATTTATACATAATATATATGAATATATATTTTCTAAATTTTAATCTCACATACTAAACATATTTGATGGAGCGTTTTGTTTTTTTAAATGATGTGAAAGCTAACATATGTACAGATTCACTTTAGCGTCATCTCTATATACAAATGCCGTGAAAGTTGCCTCTGACGTAAACCTCAATTTGGTATGGTTGGGTACGGCAGGCAGTCTGATTTAGGTTTAAAAAAATAATTTATAACTAATGACGTCAAGTTGATATATATTTCATCATGAAGGTGCAGGAATTGAATCTATTGAAAATGTTTCTGAATAACGGTTAACTTTAGATCGTAATATGAATTCAAAACGTCCAAGAGAGAAATTAATATTTCAATGCAATAATCTCGTAAACATCGAAACAAAACCTTGATATTCTCAGGTTTTGTTCATCTTCATTCCCAGAAGTTCTGCCTGCGGCGCTCCTCCCACTCCTCCTCCTCAACCTCCCAGATCTTGTCCGGCATCTGTGGCCCGGGGGTGAGGGAGAAGTCTATCTCCTCGTACACCACGGGCTCCTCCCTGCTGTGTATGACGGACATGCCGTCAATCAGGGTGGGCGGGGCAAGGTCAAGGTCGGCATACGTCAGACCGTCATCGTTCTGAAAGCGTAACAAACTTCACTAACAACCGTCTAACTTTCTTTTAGATTAAGTTTATCAGTGAATATACGTATAAATCCACCTTCTACAGTTACTGGACCTACCGTTTCGCCACGGTTGTTGCTTTCTGCTTTGAATTGGTCTGGGAAGTTGATGAGAACTGCTCTCTCATGCTGGAGATAACAAAAATATATATGATCTTAGAGATCTCCTCCATAACCTGAAAAAAACATATTATGTAATTTATTTTTGGGCAGTCGGGTAGCCTAGTGGTTAAAGCGCTCGCTCGCCACGCCGAAGACCCGGGTTCGATTCCCGACATGGGTACAATGTGTGAAGTCAATTTCAGGTATCCCCGCCCTGATATTGCTGGAATATTGCTAAAAGTGGCGCAAAACCATCCTCACTCATGTTATTTTTATATATTCCGTTCATTCTTTCAGGTTGCTTGCCCCCATCCCCCCCGCTGGTCCACACACAGCTAAACGAAACGCACACTAATGGCAATAGATTATACTTTTTTCAGCAAATGTTTTACAGCACAACAATTCCAATAAACGCAAATGCACACTTACCGACGGCGCTGCGCCTTGAAACGCCCTGTTCGTGAACTGTTTGGATATAACCTTCTGGACTGTGGCATACACTTCAGACCCTGCAGAGGGGAGAACCAGGAAGTATCAATTATTTGTACCTTCATCAGGTGAGGTGAGGTGAGGTAAAATTGGGTTTAACGTCGCGTCAAAGATTATTGCACTTATATAGCGACTGCATGCACGTGTGTGTGTGTGTGTGTGTGTGTGTGAGTGTGTGGCTGCTTGTACTAGACCGGACTGATGCCGATTTATAGTGCTAGCCCACTGAGATACCATGCCTCAGTTTAACATGAATACCCCACTCAGACACAGTATACTGACTCCGAGCCGACCAGTCCTTGCTTTAACCCTAAATGCCGAGCGCCAGACAGGGTAACAACAAGTACCATCTTTTTACGTCTTTTGGTATGACGCGGCCGGGGATAGAACCCCGGACCTTCCGCTCTCCGGGCGGACGCTCTACCACTAGACCACGGAGCCGGTCGCCTTCATCAGTCAGATAGGGGGCGGTAAGGTTGGGCCAAATACCGAAGTCCTTCGGGTTTTTAGCCGTTTACCACTTCCGATCTGATGCTGACAAACCAAGAATCATAACCAGGGGGAATCTTGGATTCGAACCCATTATCATAGGTTTCTGGCGTGCCCCAGGATCGACACTATGCTCAGCGAATTGCAACCACCCACCCTCAGAGAAAAAGTGAGTGAGTGAGTTGGGTTTAACGCCGCTTTTAACAGTATTCCAGTTATATCAGGGCGTGTCAGCTTAATGTGGGAGGAAAGCCCGAAGTGATGCAGATCTCAGACGTTTACCACTTCGGTGAAACCCACGAGCACGGGTATGGTGCTGACAAACCTAGAAACATAATCGGGGCGAACCGGGATTCTAACCCACAATCATAGGTTTCTGGCGTGCCCAAGGATCGACACTATGCTCAGCGAATTGCAACGCTTTAGACAGCCGGGCCAACAACCCACCCTCAGATGCAAAGACAAACGGACATGCCGTAAGGTAGCGTCAGTCAGGGCGTAATAACCACGTCATGTTTAAAGCATCACCTCAGTTGAGACTTACTGCCCACAAGTAAAAAATAACAGGCCAAACCTTCTCTTCTGCCCCTCTTTTTGTTCACCTTGGCATACAGGTCTGGAGGCAGAAGCAAACACAATCATAAACAAATAACAACAACGAAATAATAATATCAATAGTTTTGTTTGTTGTTTGTTGTTTAACGCCGCAATATTTATGCTGTGAGACGGCTATATGTAAATCATCGAGTCTGGACCACACAATCCAGTGACTGACATCACGTGCATCGATCTACGCAATTGGGATGCAATGACATGAACCAAGTCAGTGAGTCTGACCACCCGATCCCCTTAGTCACCTAACGACAAGCATAGTCGTCTTTTACGGCAAGAATAGCCAGACGAAAACCAATTCTAATCCAGATCGGGGTAGTATTAATGGTAGATGCCTGAGGTAGTGGTTACCTAATTGTGTCGATTTCTACTTTGAAATCTTATCCATTTACGAAACGGCTTATCATGCACAGCTTCGCGTCCTAATTGCTTGGATCGACGCTGTTGATGTCATTCACTGGATTGTCTGATCCAGACTCGATTATTTACAGACCGCCGTCAGATAGTTGGAACATTGCTGAGTGTGGTGTTTGGCAAAAAAACAAACAAACAAACAAAACCAAACCTGTATGTACTTACAAACATGTGCAAATTAGAGGTTATTAAATGACAACAAATTGATCTTAAGACTGCTACTATTTCTTGTATGACCGCCGTCATATAGCTGGAACATTGCTGAGTGCGGCGTTAAACAACAAACAAACAAAACATTAGTCGTTCTTGTGCCCGTGGTCATAGTGAGCATTTTTAGAGAATGGTTTGTATGTTTTATACATTATATAGTTGCTTTATGTTTGCTTGATGTATCTGCTGTGGCTTGTTGGTGAATACATGATAGAACAGCGAAGGCTATAGTGTTGCTAATACCGATTTCCTCATCAAGAGATGTTCAAAGTTTGAGATACGGTGTTCTCCAGAGCCAGCGGAACATTTGACGTAAATTCATAAAACTCTCATGAACGTTTATTCTGTAGTAAACGACCTGCTATCACCCATAAACATATACCAGACATGACATGACAAACTGCTAACAGTCTTGTTAATGCTACGTGGCACCGACTGCATGGGTCATGTGTAAGGGACTGTACACGACGTTTGCAGTGTCAAGTCCGAAAAGCTTCCTTGTTTGCGAACACTATTCTTCTAAAAGGAACTTCAATGTCAGCTAACATATTTGTTAGAGGGTTCATCTTGTTTCTAATTTTTGAATACATGACTAGAACCATGTTCTCGGGTCCTCTTCCGGGCGAACAGGAAGATAAAAGAGTCATCGATGCATGATTTAAAAGCGATATTGATGAGAGGCAAAGGACTTCAAGTACAAGGAATCCGAAATCAAATACAGGGAAGGGTGGGTGGGGTGGGTGGGGGGTGGGGGGGGGGGGGGGTGGGGGGGGGGGGGGGTGGGGGGGGTGTATTGCTGCCGGTTAGACACACATCCTTAAACAATTTCATGTTGAGTAACGATGAACAAAATATGACGTGATGTATTTGGGAGGATAACCTCTGAATTCAACAAGAAGCCAAACATTTTCTCCTCTTCTTAATGTGCTTCGTGGTGACTTAGGATATAACAACGTACTTAAACTTTCGTCAAGTTGGTTTGTTTGTTGTTTAACGCCGCACTCAGCAATATTCATGCTTTATGACGGCGGTCTGTAAATAATCGAGTCTGGACCAGACTATCCAGTGATTGACGTCATGAGCATCGACGCAATCGAGATACAATGACATGCATCAACCAAGTAAGCGAGCATGACCACCCTATCCCGTTAGTCGCCTCTTACGACAAGCATAGTCACCTTTTACGGCAACCATGGGTTGCTGAAGACCTACTCTAACACGGAATCGTTCGCCCAGTGCATGTACCAATTCAGTATTGTAATTTGTGTAAAACATTCCCTAACCTATATATGTCGACTGATCAGAGTGCTATAATTACTTGACTTATCTACAGCCAGCTGTTATCAGCAACAATTCAATTGCTTGTTTTATTTGTTTATTTAACTTAACATTTAGACATATTCCAGCTTTGTGACGACGGTCTGTAAATAATTGAGTCTGGACCAGACTATCCAGTGATTGACGTCATGAGCATCGACGCAACTGAGATACGATGACATGCATCAACCAAGTCAGCGAGCATGACCACCCGATCCCGTAAGTCGCCTCTTACGAAAGCATGGGTTGCTGAAGATGAAATGTTTCCCGGTTCATCTCGGTGAAAGTGTGGCTGAACTATTAACAATGAGGTCAATTACGGGCTGACCATTCGATAATATAACAGCATCTTATCTCCAACAAACTCTCTAGCAAACTCCTCAAAAGTGTCAAAATAGTGTCATATCATAATGTTGTACTAAAAATCGATATGTTTCTGAGGAAATGAAAATGAAATTTAATACGAATTAAGATAATATTATATACATTCATATATCATAATCGTGTGTTTATGAATCACTGGATGGTATGCACGAATTTACGCGTTTAATTCTACCGAAGCTTTTAATACGGCCTCCGATACAGTTGATACACTTGTCTGCATTTACAGTTGTAATGGGGATATAGTCATTTCTAATGCTTACCCGTATCATTTCTAATGCTTATCTGCAAATTCTAGAATTAACCCCGTAACTGTAATCTCGTGAGCTAAATCTGTAAGTGAAACTTCTATAGTTAAACCTGTAAATGTAGCTTCTAGAGCTAACCCCTGAACTGTACATTCCACAGCTAATCCTTTAACTGTAGCTTCTAGAGCCAACAATTTAACTATATATTCCACAACTAAACCTTTAACTGTAGCTTCTAGAGCTAACCCCTGAATTGTACATTCCTAAGCTAATCCTTACATTTCACAGCTAATCCTTTAACTGTAGCTTCTAGAGCTAACCCCTGAACTGTACATTCCACAGCTAATCCTTTAACTGTAGCTTCTAGAGCTATCCCCTGAACTGTACATTCCACAGCTAAACCTTTAACTGTAGCTTCTAGAGCTGTCCCCTGAACTGTACATCCCACAGCTAAACCTTTAACTGTAGCTTCTAGAGCTAACCCCTGAACTGTACATTCCACAGCTAAACCTTTAACCGTAACTTCTTGAGCTAACCATTGAACTATATATTCCACAGCTAAACCTTTAACTGTAGCTTCTAGAGCTATCCCCTGAACTGTACATCCCACAGCTAAACCTTTAACTGTAGCTTCTAGTGCTATCCCCTGAACTGTACATTCCACAGCTAAACCTTTAACCGTAGCTTCTAGAGCTATCCCCTGAACTATACATTCCACAGCTAAACCTTTAACCGTAGCTTCTAGAGCTATCCCCTGAACTGTACATTCCACAGCTAAACCTTTAACCGTAGCTTCTAGAGCTAACCCCTGAACTGTACATTCCACAGCTAAACCTTTAACCGTAGCTTTTAGAGTTAACCATTGAACTATATATTCCACAGCTAAACCTTTAACCGTAGCTTCTAGAGCTATCCCCTGAACTGTACATTCCACAGCTAAACCTTTAACTGTAGCTTCTAGAGCTAACCCCTGAACTGTACATTCCACAGCTAAACCTTTAACCGTAGCTTCTAGAGCCAACCATTGAACTATATATTCCACAGCTTAACCTTTAACTGTAGCTTCTAGAGCTATCCCCTGAACTGTACATTCCACAGCTAAACCTTTAACCGTAGCTTCTAGAGCAATCCCCTGAACTGTACATTCCACAGCTAAACCTTCAACTGTAGCTTCTAGAGCTTACCCCTGAACTGTACATTCCACAGCTAATCCTTTAACTGTAGCTTCTAAGGCTAACCATTTAACTATATATTCCACAGCTAATCCTTTAACTGTAGCTTCTAGAGCAATCCCCTGAACCGTACATTCCACAGCTAAACCTTTAACTGTAGCTTCTAGAGCTTACCCCTGAACTGTACATTCCACAGCTAATCCTTTAACTGTAGCTTCTAGAGCTAACTATTTAACTATATATTCCACAGCTAATCCTTTAACTGTAGCTTCTAGAGCTAACCCCTGAACTGTACATTCCACAGCTAATCCTTTAACTGAAGCTTCTAAAGCTAACCCCTGAACTGTACATTCCAAGCTAATCCTTTAACTGTAGCTTCTAGAGCTAACCATTGAACTATATATTCCACAGCTAATCCTTTAACTGTAGCTTCTAGAGCTAACCCCTGAACTGTACATTCCACAGCTAAACCTTTAACTGCAGCTTCTAGAGCTAACCATTGAACGATATATTCCACAGCTAATCCTTTAACTGTAGCTTCTAGAGCTATCCCCTGAACTGTACATTTCACAGCTAAACCTTTAACCGTAGCTTCTAGAGCTCCCCCCTGAACTGTACATTCCACAGCTAAACCTTTAACCGTAGCTTTTAGAGCTATCCCCTGAACTGTACATTCCACAGCTAAACCTTTAACTGTAGCTTCTAGAGCTAACCATTGAACTGTACATTCCACAACTAATCCTTTAACTGTAGCTTCTAGAGCTAACCCCTGAACTGTACATTCCACAGCTAATCCTTTAACTGTAGCTTCTAGAGCTAACCATTTAACTATATATTCCACAGCTAATCCTTTAACTGTAGCTTCTAGAGCTAACCCCTGAACTGTACATTCCACAGCTAATCCTTTAACTGTAGCTTCTAGAGCTCCCCCCTGAACTGTACATTCCACAGCTAATCCTTTAACTGTAGCTTCTAGAGCTCACCCTGAACTGTACATTCCACAGCTAATCCTTTAACTGTAGCTTCTAGAGCTCCCCCCTGAACTGTACATTCCACAGCTAATCCTTTAACTGTAGCTTCTAGAGCTAACCCCTGAACTGTACATTCCACAGCTAATCCTTTAACTGTAGCTTCTAGAGCTCCCCCCTGAACTGTACATTCCACAGCTAATCCTTTAACTGTAGCTTCTAGAGCTCACCCTGAACTGTACATTCCACAGCTAATCCTTTAACTGTAGCTTCTAGAGCTCACCCTGAACTGTACATTCCACAGCTAATCCTTTAACTGTAGCTTCTAGAGCTAACCCCTGAACTGTACATTCCACAGCTAATCCTTTAACTGTAGCTTCTAGAGCTCACCCTGAACTGTACATTCCACAGCTAATCCTTTAACTGTAGCTTCTAGAGCTCCCCCCTGAACTGTACATTCCACAGCTAATCCTTTAACTGTAGCTTCTAGAGCTCACCCTGAACTGTACATTCCACAGCTAATCCTTTAACTGTAGCTTCTAGAGCTCACCCTGAACTGTACATTCCACAGCTAATCCTTTAACTGTAGCTTCTAGAGCTCCCCCCTGAACTGTACATTCCACAGCTAATCCTTTAACTGTAGCTTCTAGAGCTCACCCTGAACTGTACATTCCACAGCTAATCCTTTAACTGTAGCTTCTAGAGCTCACCCTGAACTGTACATTCCACAGCTAATCCTTTAACTGTAGCTTCTAGAGCTCCCCCCTGAACTGTACATTCCACAGCTAATCCTTTAACTGTAGCTTCTAGAGCTCACCCTGAACTGTACATTCCACAGCTAATCCTTTAACTGTAGCTTCTAGAGCTCACCCTGAACTGTACATTCCACAGCTAATCCTTTAACTGTAGCTTCTAGAGCTCCCCCCTGAACTGTACATTCCACAGCTAATCCTTTAACTGTAGCTTCTAGAGCTCACCCTGAACTGTACATTCCACAGCTAATCCTTTAACTGTAGCTTCTAGAGCTCCCCCCTGAACTGTACATTCCACAGCTAATCCTTTAACTGTAGCTTCTAGAGCTCACCCTGAACTGTACATTCCACAGCTAATCCTTTAACTGTAGCTTCTAGAGCTCACCCTGAACTGTACATTCCACAGCTAATCCTTTAACTGTAGCTTCTAGAGCTCCCCCCTGAACTGTACATTCCACAGCTAATCCTTTAACTGTAGCTTCTAGAGCTCACCCTGAACTGTACATTCCACAGCTAATCCTTTAACTGTAGCTTCTAGAGCTCACCCTGAACTGTACAGTCCACAGCTAATCCTTTAACTGTAGCTTCTAGAGCTCCCCCCTGAACTGTACATTCCACAGCTAATCCTTTAACTGTAGCTTCTAGAGCTCACCCTGAACTGTACATTCCACAGCTAATCCTTTAACTGTAGCTTCTAGAGCTCACCCTGAACTGTACATTCCACAGCTAATCCTTTAACTGTAGCTTCTAGAGCTCCCCCCTGAACTGTACATTCCACAGCTAATCCTTTAACTGTAGCTTCTAGAGCTCACCCTGAACTGTACATTCCACAGCTAATCCTTTAACTGTAGCTTCTAGAGCTCACCCTGAACTGTACATTCCACAGCTAATCCTTTAACTGTAGCTTCTAGAGCTCCCCCCTGAACTGTACATTCCACAGCTAATCCTTTAACTGTAGCTTCTAGAGCTCACCCTGAACTGTACATTCCACAGCTAATCCTTTAACTGTAGCTTCTAGAGCTATCCCCTGAACTGTACATTCCACAGCTAATCCTTTAACTGTAGCTTCTAGAGCTCCCCCCTGAACTGTACATTCCACAGCTAATCCTTTAACTGTAGCTTCTAAAGCTCCCCCCTGAACTGTACATTCCACAGCTAATCCTTTAACTGTAGCTTCTAGAGCTCACCCTGAACTGTACATTCCACAGCTAATCCTTTAACTGTAGCTTCTAGAGCTCCCCCCTGAACTGTACATTCCACAGCTAATCCTTTAACTGTAGCTTCTAGAGCTCACCCTGAACTGTACATTCCACAGCTAATCCTTTAACTGTAGCTTCTAGAGCTCCCCCCTGAACTGTACATTCCACAGCTAATCCTTTAACTGTAGCTTCTAGAGCTCCCCCCTGAACTGTACATTCCACAGCTAATCCTTTAACTGTAGCTTCTAGAGCTCCCCCCTGAACTGTACATTCCACAGCTAATCCTTTAACTGTAGCTTCTAGAGCTCACCCTGAACTGTACATTCCACAGCTAATCCTTTAACTGTAGCTTCTAGAGCTCCCCCCTGAACTGTACATTCCACAGCTAATCCTTTAACTGTAGCTTCTAGAGCTCCCCCCTGAACTGTACATTCCACAGCTAATCCTTTAACTGTAGCTTCTAGAGCTCCCCCCTGAACTGTACATTCCACAGCTAATCCTTTAACTGTAGCTTCTAGAGCTCACCCTGAACTGTACATTCCACAGCTAATCCTTTAACTGTAGCTTCTAGAGCTATCCCCTGAACTGTACATTCCACAGCTAATCCTTTAACTGTAGCTTCTAGAGCTCACCCTGAACTGTACATTCCACAGCTAATCCTTTAACTGTAGCTTCTAGAGCTCCCCCCTGAACTGTACATTCCACAGCTAATCCTTTAACTGTAGCTTCTAGAGCTCCCCCCTGAACTGTACATTCCACAGCTAATCCTTTAACTGTAGCTTCTAGAGCTCCCCCCTGAACTGTACATTCCACAGCTAATCCTTTAACTGTAGCTTCTAGAGCTCACCCTGAACTGTACATTCCACAGCTAATCCTTTAACTGTAGCTTCTAGAGCTCACCCTGAACTGTACATTCCACAGCTAATCCTTTAACTGTAGCTTCTAGAGCTATCCCCTGAACTGTACATTCCACAGCTAATCCTTTAACTGTAGCTTCTAGAGCTCACCCTGAACTGTACATTCCACAGCTAATCCTTTAACTGTAGCTTCTAGAGCTCCCCCCTGAACTGTACATTCCACAGCTAATCCTTTAACTGTAGCTTCTAGAGCTCCCCCCTGAACTGTACATTCCACAGCTAATCCTTTAACTGTAGCTTCTAGAGCTCACCCTGAACTGTACATTCCACAGCTAATCCTTTAACTGTAGCTTCTAGAGCTCCCCCCTGAACTGTACATTCCACAGCTAATCCTTTAACCGTAGCTTCTAGAGCTCCCCCCTGAACTGTACATTCCACAGCTAATCCTTTAACTGTAGCTTCTAGAGCTCCCCCCTGAACTGTACATTCCACAGCTAATCCTTTAACTGTAGCTTCTAGAGCTCCCCCCTGAACTGTACATTCCACAGCTAATCCTTTAACTGTAGCTTCTAGAGCTAACCCCTGAACTGTACATTCAACACCTAAACATGTAAGTGTAAGTTTATAGCTAGACCTGTCAGTGTAGCTTCTAGAGCTAAAACCTGTCACTGTAGCTTCTATAGCTGTATATGTTGTGCTTACCCTGTGACTAAGATCTAGTTCTTACCCTGTGACAGTAACTTTTAGAGCTTACTCCGTAAGTGTAATTTCTTGAGCTAAACCTGTAAACATAGCTACTAGAGCTAAACCTGAAGCTATATGTTCTCGTGGTTACCATGTGATCGTAACGTCTAGTACTTTCCCTGAGGGCCCTCTGATACATTCAATGTAACCGTCTGGTTTTACTGTTGTAATTTGGGATATCATAATTTGGACTAGTGATGGCTCTGACAGAGCATCCGACTGGGATGTCATCCTTGGAGGGAAGTTCCTGACTTGGAGGAAAACACAGAAAGTCACCTCTGACATACTTGAAACATAATGGTATGTGCGAATTACGAGGGGTTGCTGAAACGTTCTGAGCCCAACTGTGAAGGATGTATGGCACACCCTTTACAGTTTACATGTATTATACTTTCCTTATATATATTGTATGTATTGGTATTAACCGACAATTCAATACCATAGCAAGACCTGCCATACTTACCGCTGGGATCTTGCTGAAACTGTCCTTCATTGTCACCCATATTTGGGTCGCCAACTCTGAAAAGAGAGACATGTGAAGTGAAGGAAGAAGTAACACACATCTTACTGTGTTATACATTCCAAAGTTTGAGCTTTAGACCCTTGTGTTTACCCTGTAGCTATAACGTCTAAAGCTTAACCTGTAGCTGCTGTAACATCTAGTTCTTATGCTATGCCTGTAACTAAAACATTGTAGAGGTAGTCCTGTAACATTACCTTGTAATGGTAACCCTCTAAGATAAGCTTGTACAGGTAACCCTGTAATCTTTACTTGTACAGGTAACCCTGTGACCTTTACTTGTAGAGGTAACATGTAACGTTTACGTGTAGAGGTAACCCTGTGACCTTTACTTGTAGAGGTAAAATGTAAAGTTTACTTGTAGAGGTAACCCTGTGACCTTTACTTGTAGAGGTAACCATGTAACCTTAACTTGTAGAGGGGACCCTGTATCCTTTACTTGTAGAGGTAACATGTAACCTTTACTTGTAGAGGTAGCCCTGTGACCTTTACTTATAGAGGTAACTATGTAACCTTTACTTGTAGAGGTAACCATGTAACGTTTACTGGTAGAGGTAACCATGTAACCTTTACTTGTAGAGGTAACATGTAACGTTTACTTGTAGAGGTAGCCCTGTCACCTTTACTTGTAGAGGTAACCATGTAACCGTTACTTGTAGAGGTAACATGTAACCTTTACTTGTAGAGGTAACATGTATCATTTACTTGTAGAGGTAACCATGTAAGCATTACTTGTAGAGGTAACATGTAACCTTTACTTGTAGAGGTAACATGTATCATTTACTTATAGAGGTAACCATGTTACATTTACTTGTATAGGTAACCATGTTACATTTATTTGTAGAGGTAACATGTAACCTTTACTTGTAGAGGTAACATGTAACGTTTACTTGTAGAGGTAACATGTAACGTTTACTTGTAGAGGTAACATGTAACCTTTACTTGTAGAGGTAACATGTATCATTTACTTGTAGAGGTAACCATGTTACATTTACTTGTATAGGTAACCATGTTACATTTACTTGTAGGGGTAACATATAACCTTTACTTGTATAGGTAACCCTGTGACCTTTACTTGTAGAGGTAACCCTGTGACCTTTACTTGTAGAGGTAACCCTGTAACCTTTACTTGTAGAGGGAACCCTGTAACCTTTACTTGTATAGGTAACATGTAACCTTTACTTGTAGAGGTAACCATGTAACCTTTACTTGTATAGGTAACAGGTACCCTTTACTTGTCGAGGTTACCATTGAATCTTTACTTGTAGAGGTAACCCTGTGACCTTTACTTGTAGAGGTAACATGTAACATTTACTTGTAGAGGTAACCCTGTAACCTTTACTTGTATAGGTAACATGTAACCTTTACTTGTAGAGGTAACCATGTAACCTTTACTTGTAGAGGTAACATGTACCCTTTACTTGTCGAGGTAACATGTAACCTTTACTTGTAGAGGTAACATGTACCCTTTACTTGTCGAGGTAACAATGTAATCTTCACTTGTAGAGGTAACCCTGTGACCTTTACTTGTAGAGGTAACATGTAACATTTACTTGTAGAGGTAACCCTGTAACCTTTACTTGTAGAGGTAACATGTAACATTTACTTGTATATGTAACATGTAACCTTTACTTGTAGAGGTAACCATGTAACCTTTACTTGTAGAGGTAACCATGTAACCTTTACTTGTAGAGGTAACATATTACCGTTACTTGTATAGGTAACATGTACCCTTTACTTGTAGAGGTAACCCTGTAACCTTTACTTGTAGAGGTAACCATGTAACCTTTGCTCTTAGAGGTAACATGTAACCTTTACTTGTAGAGGTAGCCCTGTCACCTTTACTTGAAGAGGTAACCATGTAACCGTTACTTGTAGAGGTAACATGTAACCTTTACTTGTAGAGGTAACATGTATCATTTACTTGTAGAGGTTACCATGTTACATTTACTTGTAGAGGTAACCATGTTACATTTACTTGTAGAGGTAACCCTGTAACCTTTACTTGTAGAGGTGACCATGTAACCTTTGCTTGTAGAGGTAACATGTAACCTTTACTTGTAGAGGTAACATGTAACCTTTACTTGTAGAGGTAACATGTAACCTTGACTGGGAGAGGTAACATGTAACCTTTACTTGTAGAGGTAACCCTGTGACCTTTACTTGTACAGGTAACCCTGTGACCTTTACTTGTAGAGGTCACATGTAACCTTTACTTGTAGAGGTAACATATAACCTTTACTTGTATAGGTAACCCTGTGACCTTTACTTGTAGAGGGAACCCTGTAACCTTTACTTGTATAGGTAACATGTAACCTTTACTTGTAGAGGTAACCATGTAACTTTTACTTGTAGAGGTAACATGTACCCTTTACTTGTCGAGGTAACACTGTAATCTTCACTTGTAGAGGAAACCATGTGACCTTTACTTGTAGAGGTAACATGTTACATTTACTTGTAGAGGTAACCCTGTAACCTTTACTTGTAGAGGTAACATGTAACCTTTACTTGTAGAGGTAACCATGTAACCTTTACTTGTAGAGGTAACCATGTAACCTTTACTTGTAGAGGTAACATATAACCGTTACTTGTATAGGTAACATGTACCCTTTACTTGTAGAGGTAACCCTGTAACCTTTACTTGTAGAGGTAACATGTAACCTTTACTTGTAGAGATAAACCTGTGACCTTTACTTGTACAGGTAACTCTCGAATATTAACTTGTGGATGTGGGCACTATTCTTCTTCTTCTCACTGTTCTTTAAATATTCTACCGTCAACAGTTACCCGCTGCAACAGTGTATCAGTCGTGGAAGGAAGAGCCAATACCTGTACACTTCACCTCCTGAAATAGATAATAAATATCCCAGTAAATGAACACGTTCAAAGCAAAAAGTAATTTTAAAAGTATTCAGTATTTGCAGTAATTGTAGTAAAACAACCTACTATAAATGCCTATAATGCCCCTAATATCAGCACAATTCAGATTCTGTTATCTCAATCATTACTAAGACAATACCTTTCTTGATTCTGTTTTTGTAAGCAACGACGACGACGAGTACAGCGATGACGACGATCAGGAAAGAACAGACAGCAGCCACGTAGACGATGGAAGCGACGACAGGTTCAGTACCCTCACCAACTGGACCATTCAAAATATAACAAAAACATTGTTAAGGATTCTAATGTTCCCGATGTATATATGGAATAAGCTGACATTTTAATTTGAATATATGGTGAAATACAGTACAAGTGTGAAAAATGTTAGGAGCTATGGGAACAGTGTATTTTTTGTCGAATTATGTATTACGTAAACAATGGGTTACTGTCTTCAGTGCAGAACTGTTTTTATTTTAGTTTGAAATAACAGAACTGTTTTTGACATTTGAAGAACCTGAAAGTTCCTGATCAATAGTTCGTGTTAGAATTACTCATTATTTTGAATCTATGTGGGTTTAGAGAAAGTTGAAATGAATGAAAATGAAATTGGTCATTAGAGGAGTTATCCAAATAAATGTTACAGATTCTGTCTATCACCAGCAATGTTGTAGAAGTCTTACAGGGAACGTCCAGCGTCAGGCTCCGTGATGTATTCCCATATGTATTGTTGGCGTGACAGATGTACTGTCCAGACACAGATCTGTCTACAGCTGGTATATACAACACAGCCTCCCCCTGTCCCGTGATCTCCCTCTGTCTGGATGTATCCGACCAGGTCACAGTGCAGGCGGGGTTACAGTCAGCAGAACATCTCACTGTGATATGTTTCCCTTCTTTTGCCTTTAGCCTGTCACTTGCACCGGTAAACTGTATCTGGTCAGGTCCATCTGAAATGTTTGATGTACTATGGCCAGTAGTTCCACACTGTATCACCAGCTAACAACGGAAAATGCTACTGAACGTGATAACTGTTCGTTCTGATCCTGAATACTGTGATGTACGCGTACAGTTTGGTTTTATAATATATGTGTTTATAGCGAGATAAACATGTGCAGTTTGTTTCTGTGACATGTACGTGTGTGACTACTGGAAGTACACATGTGACGGAGGGGCGAATATTGTACAAGGGGGAGGGGTAGGATGGTGAGTGAGTGAGTGAGTGAGTGAGTGAGTGAGTTGGGTATAACGCCGCTTTTAACATGATTCCAGTATTATCACGGTGTGTCGGCTTTATGTGGTAGGAAAGCCCGAAGTGATGCAGGTCTTAGACGTTTACCACTTCGGTGAAACCCATGACTATGGGAGCGACACCAGCTTTAGTAACCTCACGTGCTGGAACATTTAATAAATAACAAAAGCATTGTTTAGGATTCTAATGTTTCCGATATATAACACATGGAATAAGCAGTCACTTTAATTTGTAAATGTGGTGAACTTCAGCTAATTTGTCGCAAATCTTACGAGTTATCGGAACAGTTTCGTTTGTTGAATTAGGTAGTAAATAAACAATCGATTTCTGTCTTTAATACAGATCTTTGTTAAGTTGATTTTGAATGAACAGAAACGCCTTGCCATTTGAAAGAATCTCAAGAATCGCATTGACGTGATGTCACATCATCAGAATATAGTCAATATTACCTGTTTAAATTATTTATCATCTCTGTGGGATTAGAGAAAGTTGAAATGAATGAAAATGAAATTGGTTATTACTGGAGTTATCCAAATAAATGTTACAGATTCTGTCTATCACCAGCAATGTTGTGGAAGTCTTACAGAAAACTTCCAGCGTCAGGATCCGTGATGTACTTCCATGCGTGTTGCTGACGTGACACGTGTACTGTCCAGACACAGATCTGTCTACAGCTGGTATATACAACTCAGCTTGACCCGTGATCTCCCCCTGTCTGGATGTGTTCCACCAGGTCACAGTGCAGGCGGGGTGACAGTCGGCAGAACATCTCACTGTGAGAGGTTTCCCTTCTTCTGCCTTTAGCCTGTCACTAGCGCCGTTAAACTGTATCAGGTCAGGTCCATCTGGAATGTTTGATGTACTATGGTCAGTAGTTCCACACTGTATCACCAGCTAAACGGAAAACG